AAGCCAGTGTCACAGATATAACAAACAAAAGACTTCAAGCTAGAAAAAATTCAGTTTCTTCTGTGCAGAGGAGAATTATCAGCATTTCAGAGCGTTGGAGATTTTTGTTAGTTTGCTTTCATATAGATTAACAACAGTGTTAAAAAATACTCAGAAAATATTTAACATCTGATTATGTTAAAAAATATATATTTTATCCTAGTTCATTTTGGAAAATTATTAGTTTTATCCAGGGAATTGTCCCTATCACCAGAGCCTAGTTTTGCTTGATTATCTAAACCTTTATTTTTATCTGTATAGGTCTACCTGGCTCTCTGGACACTGAACAACATGAAGTTTTAGTAAATTTGAAACACCGACTTTTCAGACTGGAGGCTGGTAATTTTTTCTATTGTTACTTTTTCAGCTCACAGTCAGTTTTAAGTCCAATAGGCAAAGCTAATTATAGAATCATGACTTACAGACAAGGAATTCCATTTGAAGATGGTTCTGGATTCCAAAACTCCATTTTCTTGTCCAAAGCAGGGAAAATCAGGACTGTTTCCCTGAAGAAGCAGATTTCTCTTTGCAACAGTAATGTACATTGATTCAAATTTGATTTATTTAAAAATATATACATGATGTTGCACTTTCCACATGGACTCATGGGAACTTGTCTGGTACCACATTGCTAGTATTTGTATCTATCAGCAACCAGATTGTTAAAGGTGGTAAATTGTTTTCTAATGAGAAGGAATTCACAAAATTTTTAATTTCTCAGTTTCACTTATTCAAATTTGAAGCAAACTGATCCTCTTTAGAAAGCACATACAATATAACAGGGCTGATAGTGTATGTAGCAAATGTTAGTGGGGCATCCTTGTCTTGGAGGTAAGGACAGATGATCACAAGTAGCATAACAAAATATGTAGTGAGCAACTAGTGAACAAGTAAAATTTAAGATCTTTATTCCTCTTCATCCTTTAATTTCATTCTTGCCCTCCTTGATCCCTTGATTTCTCTTTCTTTGCTTTTTCACCCATATGCCATGGGAAATTAAAAAAGCTAACTAGATTTTTCTTTTCATGTTTCAGTGCTTGCTTTGAATGGGAAAATAAGAGAAGTAGGAGAGAAAATGCTTGCCAGCAATGGGAAGAAAGTTAATTTTGCATCTGCACTTGAATCCTGCAAAGAGGCTGGAGGAACTCTTGCAGTGCCCATGAATGAGCAGGAGAATAAAGCTGTTATGGACATTGTGAAACAGTATAACCAATATGCTTACTTGGGCATTAAAGAGCGTGAGACTTCAGGTCAGTTTCAGAGTATAAATGGCATGACTCTGAATTACACCAAGTGGCATGAACGTGAGCCTAATGGCAAAGGGAAAGAAAAATGTGTAGAGATGTACACTGATGGGACCTGGAATGACAAAAAATGCAACCTGTATCGTCTCACAATTTGTGAATTTTAAAGAATGGCCTTCCATCCACCTCAGAGCATGGAGACAATGAAATATCATGATATGTCTTGGGTTTAAAAAAATTCTGCAGTTACTCTATGTCTTAAAAGCAAAAATGAATCATCTTATGGTATTTTTAAATCCTTAAGAAAATGCCAAATGTGGTAGGTGATTAAGATAATTAAAATGTGCCTAATCTGATGTGTTTCTTTCTTTTGGAGGGTTGGGAATAGCTCAGAATTCATTTTTCATGGCAGACTGTCTCTATGCCTTTGTGAAGATTAGGGGAAAATTCCAAGGTTTGATTTGGTCTATTGGATAAATGTGAAGTTAAAATTGCCCATTTCCAAGTACCGAATAGTTTTTGCCTTAAAAAGAGATCCACAGAAGTTAACTTCACTTGAGCAATTATAGCCTTGGATTTTGTGCATGTCTTTGAATTTTAGAGCTTGTATTGTGTCATATCAAAGCACTGATTCATTCAGCATCCACATTTAACTTTTTTTTTGATACAAAACAACAGTACCAGTAAGAATTAATTTTCTTAGTTTAAGAAGCTACTCTCTATAAAACACTAAAATAGATATTGCATTAGGTCCAAGGAGACAGAGATATGTGTATAAAACACTAAAGATTCCATTTTGTTGCTAAACAGCACATTTAATCAGAGAACTATGACCATTGCACTGTTAGAAGGCCATCTAAACCACTAAACAAGCAGCAAGGGAAAGCAGCAAGATTGAAGTTCAATCAGTTCAAACACATATATCTCTGCTGATGCCATGACAAGCAACCACACAAACCACAACTCAAGGGGAATAGGATCAAGAAGCATCTTTTCACAAAATATTTTCATCTCAGTTTGGGGGCAGGGGCAGTTCAGTAGAGTACCATGAGTAGCAAATTCTCACATACTTATCCAAAGAGTGAGTTAGTCCTGAGCTCATCCATTATGATTTTCACA